AAGTTGTCATGACCTCAAATCCTTACAAATTTAAAAAAAAAAAAAAAGAATACATTTAGTAGTAGAAAAAACATTTTTCATAAAGTTTTTAAAAATCCATAACATAATTGTGCTTAAGTCTGCAAGGAAACACACGCAAGACCAATAAAAAATGCTCAACGAAGAACACAAAAATCTGACCATCCGTTTCTCGACCCTTCAGCCAGACTCGCTTTTCATAAAAAAGTGTGTATAAAAGAGGGGAGAAGCCGAGCTTTCGAACATGCGATTTTTTCACTCGACTTGATCGTGAACTTGGAAGGAGGGGCATACACTGCGTTACGAGAAGGTAAAGTAGTTCACGTCCGAGCGAGCCGGGGACGTATACATACCGTTTTAGATATGCCATCGTGATTTATTGGAAAGTGAGTTTCGCGTGAGTATATGCGCATAAAGGCCCACCGCGTAAAATCAATCGGACGTTAAATAAGCCGCAGTAACGTGTTTAAGCATACGCGGGCGGGCTGTTTGTTGTGAGCCCTTATTTCCCTATTTTTCTCTCTCTATTTTTTTTTTTTTTTTTTTTTTTTTTTTTTTTTTTTTTCGATTTATCGAATCGGCAATTGTCGGGGCGAATGTGAATTGCTCGTGAGCCAGTAAGGACGAGGATCATGAAGCTGGCGAGGGCAGTGCTCGTCGCGGTGGGCATCGGTGGGCTGTTCCTGGCGTCGTTTGCCGGTAAGTTGAGTTTTTTTTTGGTTCACGAAAAAGTGCCTTTTTTTGTTCGTTTTTTCATACGAATTATTGTCGATTTTATTTCAAGTTGTCAAAAGTCTTCAATGTGCCTACACGTAACTTTACGATCTTACAAAGTCTTTCAGAGACTATTTTAAAGATTACGGAATGATTGCCAGTCTTTGATATTTATAGACAGCTTTGAAGTTTTTAAAAGTAGAAGTTNTACTTTTCTTACGATTTTCTTTCATCGTGCTCCTCACCACGAAATCATCACATTAAAATTGCAATTTATAATAACCCGTTACACGGACAAGGACACCAACAACCTCTCTCTTTTTTTTCAATTAGGTGTAAAATTTCACACACCCGTAGTCTCTGGATTCATGGAAGTGCAAAGTAAAAACCATTTTACTGTAAAGTTTTATTTTGAAAATCCTCCCCAAGTGCTCCTGTACAGCAACACACGCGTACACGGACGAAATCATCATTTATCAGAGCCTGGGTCGATTACAAAGCGATCGGTACACTTGGAAGCCCGTACAAACAGCTGTTTGGCTCAACAGGAGGAGGAGTTGCAAAATCGAGCTCTAGATAAGTACACACACGTGTATGTGTGATGTGTACGCGCAATGGAATAAAATTAGAGCTCAAGGAGGAGAGCGACGCTCTGTTCCGTGGGATAGGGGGGGGGGGAGAGGAGAAAAAAGCGGATGGAAGGTGAGCGAGCGCTGGGAAGAGGGAGAGTATTAATAAAAAAAAAAGATTTGCTTTTATTGCACTTACTTTTATGTTTACTAGTGTCAGGTAAGAAACATTTTTTTTTATGAATGAAATTTTTAGTCTTTTTTTCGTGAAATCTATAATTCTAGATAAACTAAATTCATTAAGTTGAAAGAACATAATTTATCTCAATTATAGAAATTTTCCGCTTAAAAAGTTAAGGGACTCAAGAAAAACCGTCTTAACCAATTTTTTTAATAATATTCTATATAATCAACTAAATTACTGGATCTCAACATTTCGACCACATGAGCCATCTATGCGTAATGGGGCATCTGACCTGTTCACCTCACATTTACAGAAAGTAATGGATAATAGTACAAAACTAGAAAATCAACATATATATAATGAATTTTGAGTACACGCATGGGCTCATACGAGAATTTCAGACACTCGTTGTTTGCTCGTCCATTCATATTTTTCCCTACTCCTCACACCTTCCGCTCCAACTCCTTTTGTTACTCGCTCTTTAAAACCCTTAACATTCGTTCCTTCCTTCCTCGGAAGGCTTCTTTGATTCTGAATAACGTGTCAGTACATTCACTAGTCCGAGTTAACCTATTTTTAAAAATCTTCAAGTTTAGATTTTGCAAATTTCGTTGCACTATACTCGTTGGATATTGACTTGAAAAGTAGGGAGAAGTGTTTTTTTTCCTTTTGGTTTAACCAAAAAACTTTCGAGCGTGGTTACACATCTTTTTCATTCCTCTCACATCTTTGTGTCAATTTCACGTAAGTTTTTCTTATTGTGTGTTAAAAACATGTAGAGAATGAAAATATTTGCTGTTGCGAGCAAAAGGGTTTTTGATAGGCTCTATTTTGGTTAATATTTAAAAAAAAAGCCTACGTCAACTTCTGAGCTCTAAATATGAAAGTATTTATACATTTTTTTTTTTTAATTTTGACATTAGTATTTATTGAGCGACGATCTTAGTGAAAAAAAAAAAAGAAAAAAAGAAAAAAATCAAAAAATCTTCTGAATTAGAGTATATATTATGTCCCTTTTTAACTTAAGAAAAATTAATTTTCTGAGTTGATTTTGTTTGTACTTTTAAAGTTTTTCATATTTTGCTTGTTTAATTTTCAGCAAATGGTTTTCTCGTTGTTAAGATAAACATTTGAAATAGTATTTTCTCATGAGTTATATTCCATTCCTCATAAAAATAAGCTTTTTTTCATTTTTGTTCATTTTTTGATCAGCCATCCATAAATTTTTGACTCAATAACGTTTAATACATCAAAATGTAACTTTTGAGAAATAACTATTATATTAAAATGAAATACATGAAGTTAGTGAAATTGTAGAGCACAATCTTAGAAAATAAATCAAGCCGTTGCGTACTTTAACCTGTAAGAAAACCAAAATTTTCTTATAAATCATACAGTGATGACTGAAACCTTTGATAATTGTAACAGAGCTCGATAATAAGGCTATCTACCTACTTATATCAATATATTATAATGAAAGATCATAAATGTTTTTCCAATATAAAACGTAAGATATAACAAGTTAAAAAAAAAAAAAAAAAATAGATAAATAAGTTCTACCCCCAAAAACAACCAAAGTCAACACGTTGTAGTTGTCATGACCTCAAATCCATACAAATATTAAAAAACAAAGCAGTCCCTGAAAAAAAAAATGTTTCTTACACTTTCTAATAAAAATATTGTACACAATAAATAATTATTCTATTTCGCCAAAGTTAATAATCAAGTACAAATCCACAAACGCAACCGCCAGAGCAGCCCGAGAGATCTGTCAATTACAGTCGAACAAGACGTCTGTCGGTCCCGCCTCCCCCCCCCCTCCGCAGCCGGAAACTTCGACCGCCAAACAAATGCCAGGCTCTTCCTCCCCTAAGTCTACACATCCATGTATATTGTACAGCTGCACGACCCCTTTCGCAGTGGTGCACGTGTGTGGTCGAGCTCACAAATTGTATCGTATAGTTTCGCGATAATACTTGGCCGCACGTCCGAACTAACAGTTTCCCGGAAGTTTCTGTTTGCCCGCAGACTCTTGTTTTCACTGTCATATTATAACCCCGACGCGCGCACCGAAGACATAAAAAAAGAAAGTCAGACTAGTTAATTTAATGATGAATCAAGAAAAAAAAAGAAATAGGAACTTTTTTTTCGTATAAAAATTGTAAGGTTCGGGAGTAGTGATGATGAGCGTCATGAGAGGTACTCGAGCATTGATGGGGGCTTAATTACATTAATGGCCTTCGTGGGTGTAGAAAAATAAGGTGTCGAAGAGTTTTTTTTTTTTTTTTTTTTTACAACTAACTAAACGACACGTCTTTCATACAGTCCATTCATTACGCGGGTTTCTCTCTTTCTCTTATACAAAACGATTTTTTTTTTTTTTTTTTTTTTTTTTTTCAAGTTCTAAGTGTATTTATTTTTCTCACTCGAACAGAGAGGGAAGTGAAAATGAAATGGAGGTGTGGTTATAGGGTACAGGAGTGGATAAGAGGTGAGGGGAATTGCGTCGAAGGACGGTGCGTTGCTTTGTTAAACAAATCATTTTTTTTTTTCTCTTTAATTAAGGGTAATTTTTCGTAAAAGTTCCATAAAACATTTTCGAATGTCATTCATTAATTTAAATAGAGCTTTGCATAATGATTGGGGATGAAAAAAAAACAAGTACACGCGCGTTTTTTAAGAAGTGGCATGACATAATTGGGGGATTACAGCTAAGTATCCTTACATATTTTTATCCCTAAAAAATAATCTTGCCAATAAATTCTCTTGAATACAATATTTTTTTAAATGAAATAAAATAAAAATTATTCAGTGATTTTTATTTTTTTAGTAAAAATCCTGAAATCAATTAAAAGTTAAATTAACTATTTTTTCGNAGACGCCAATATAGAAAAATATCGTTAATATCGTGAGATGCTATTCACAAGATATAGAACACAATATGTAGCTCTATCAATTTTATTGAAAATATTGCTATCGATATATTTTTTTTTTAATGCATACAAAGACGTCGTATTAATGACTGGAAACTTAATTAGATTTTTCTAATATTTAAATTGTACACAACAAAAATGTCGTATCTGTAAAGTTGTTAGCATCTGAACATCGTCATTAAAAAAAATTAAAGTACTAGCATTAAAATATGTTATCAAGACAAAGTATATTTTCAATCACTTGAGATGCTACGTTTTTCCAACGCTTAGCTAAGAAAAAAAAAAGCTTGTTGACTAAAAATATGATGTAACGAACAAAAAATCAGTTTATTTTAAAAAAACAATATTTAGTACATCAGATTTCAATAATAATATCAGAGACATCCTTAGTTGTGGTGGTAAAAATATCACAGGAGTACTTTTCTTACGATTTTCTTTCATCGTGCTCCTCACCACGAAATCATCACATTAAAATTGCAATTTATAATAACCCGTTACACGGACAAGGACACCAACAACCTCTCTCTTTTTTTTCAATTAGGTGTAAAATTTCACACACCCGTAGTCTCTGGATTCATGGAAGTGCAAAGTAAAAACCATTTTACTGTAAAGTTTTATTTTGAAAATCCTCCCCAAGTGCTCCTGTACAGCAACACACGCGTACACGGACGAAATCATCATTTATCAGAGCCTGGGTCGATTACAAAGCGATCGGTACACTTGGAAGCCCGTACAAACAGCTGTTTGGCTCAACAGGAGGAGGAGTTGCAAAATCGAGCTCTAGATAAGTACACACACGTGTATGTGTGATGTGTACGCGCAATGGAATAAAATTAGAGCTCAAGGAGGAGAGCGACGCTCTGTTCCGTGGGATAGGGGGGGGGGGAGAGGAGAAAAAAGCGGATGGAAGGTGAGCGAGCGCTGGGAAGAGGGAGAGAAGGGACGTTGATCGACTTAAGCGGGACGAGGCTGGGGTATATCCTTGAGAGAGAATTATTCCTCTCCGATCCGACTGTGGATCGTGCAATGACTCCACGTGTGTGTGTTTACGGCGGTGGTGGAGATTGTCTCTACGTAGTGATGTATGGTTTTGTTAAAGTTTGACGTGTCATTTTTACAGTTGAGTGCGTTCAACATTTTTGGAAGCAAAGACTGGTCTAATTTTACACCCTTATCATTAATAGGAGGGAAAAATAATTTGTAACTAATTGTACAATTATCAAGGTTCTGATGTACTGTGGTACAATTAATAATGATGATATTTTGGGTGACTAGTGTAATAATAATTAATTAATAAAC